TTTTGAGTTGATTTTTGTTAATGGTGAAAGATGGGGATTCAGTTTCATCTTTCTGCCGGTGTATACTCAGTTTTTCCAGCACCATTTGCTGAAAAGGTTTTCCTTTTCCTGATGGATTGACTGGTATCCTTTGTCAAAAACAGTTGGCTGTAACTTTGGGGGTTATTTCTGGAGTCTATTCTACTCCATTGGTCCGCCTATCTGTTTTGTTGTTGTTGTTGTTGTTTGTTTCCTTGTTTGTTTGTTTTCAATACCATGCTGTTTTGATTATCACAGCTTGATAGTATATTTTGGGGTCAGGGAGTAAGATGCCACCCTCTCCAGGCTTCTTGCACAGGATTGCTTTGACAATACAAGGTCTTTTATCATTCCAGAAAAAGTCTGATTGTCTTTTCTAGATTTGTGAAGAACATCTCTCATGTTTTGATTGGAATTGTGTTAAATACGTAGATTAATTTGGGTAGAATTGCCATTTTGATTATATTCTTCCAATCCAGGAACATAGGATGTCTTCCATCCTTTTATGTCATTTCCAGTATTTTTTAAAGGATTTTCATAGTTTTTTTTGTAAAGGTCTTTGACTTTCTTAGTTAGGTTTATCCCTAGGTATCTTATACATTTTGTGGCTATGATAAAAGGGATTCCTTCCTTCAGCTCTACTTCATTCTGCTTGTTGTTCATATATAGTAATGCTATAGATTTTTGGATGTTGATTTGGTATCCTGCCACTTCATTGTATTCATTTATTACTTGGATAAGATTTTTCATGGAAGCCTTTGGGTCTTCTAAGACTACCATCATGTCATCTGCAAATAAAGATATTTTCAACTCTTTTTTGTCTATTTGAATTATATTTATATTATTCTCTTTTCTGATTGCATAAGCTAAGACTTCCAGCACTATATTAAAAAACAGTGAAGAAAGTGGTCAGCCTTGTCTAGTACTAGTTTTTAGTGGAAAAGCTTTTTGCTTTCCCTATTCAGTATAATATTAGCTATATATTTTTTATAGATGGCCTTTTTTTTAGAGGTTTTTGCTGTAGAGCTCGTGTGCTTGCCAGAAAGACAGAGAGATAGAAAGCAAGAAATCCCCTCCCCCCCCTGAGGGGATGTCCACGCCACAATCCCTTCTACTCCATTCTCCTCTCTGGATCTTGGATACTCATGCACACACGCCCCACGTGAGTTTAAGTCACCAGGTCCAAGATTCAAACCGTGGTTGGCTACATGGGAGTTTAGCGACATAGCTATTATGCTACCTGCTGGTCCCTCATAGATGGCTTTTATTGTGTTGAGAAATGATCCTTCTTAATCATGAAAGGACATTATATTTTATCAAATGCTTTTTCTGCATCAATTGAAATGATCATATGGTTTTTATCTTTCTTTCTGGTATTATGGTGTTTTATATTTATAGTCTTGCTATGGTGAACCCCCTTGAGTCCCTGGAATAAAGCCTTACTGATCGTGATGAATAATCTTTGTTATATGTTGGATGCGATTTGCAAGTATCTTGTTGAGAATTTTTTCTTCTATATTCATCGGAGATATTGGTCTGTACTTGTCCTTTTTTTGTCATGTTTTGGGAATGAGGATAATGCTGGATTCATAAAATGAATTTGGGAGGTTTCCTTCCTTTTGGAGCTTTAGAAATAATTTGAGTAGGATAAGTGTTAACTCTTCCTTGAACATTTTATAGAATTCAGAAGTGAAGCCATCAGACCTGGGCTTTTCTTTGCTGGGAGGTTATTTATTACTGATTCAATCTCATGGCTTGTTATGGGTCTATTCATGTTTTCTATGTTCTCCAGATTCAATCTTGGTAGATTATATGCATCCAGGAATTTGTCCAACTCCTCCATGTTCTCTTGTTTGTTGCCATATAGTCACTCAAAGTATCCTCTAATGATGTTTTGTATTTCTGTTATGTCTGTTGTAATATTGCCTGTTTCATTATGTATTTGATTTATTGGGTTTCTTTTTTTCTTCTTTATCAGTCTAGCTAATGGTATGTCAATCTTGTTAATCTTTTCAAAGAACCTGCTTTTGCTTTCATTTATTTTCTGTATAGTTCATTTATTTTCTATTTCAATTATTTCTGCTCGAATCTTTGATTTCTTTTTGCCTGGCATTTTCAGTTTTTTTTTTCCTTTTTTTTTTCTTGTTGTTGTTTTTGCAGTTCCCTGAGGCATGATGTTGTCTATTTGCCACCTTTCCATCTTTTTCTGATGTGCACTAATTGCTACGAATTTCCCTTTTATGACGTCTTTTGCCATGTCCCATAGGTTATGGAAACTCATGTGCTCATTATCATTTGTCTCTATAAATTTTTTGACTTCAGACTTAATTTATTAGTTAAGAAGTCATTCAGAAATAGGTTGTTTAGTATTCATGTTTTTGTGTATTTTTTATGCTGTCTATTGAAATTAGTCTTGAGTTTAATTCCATCATGGTCAGAGAAGATGCTTGATATAGTTTCTATGCCTTTGAATATATATAGGCTTGATTCGTGTCCAAGTCTTTGAAAAGGTTCTTTGCTGGGGTGAGAAAAACGTATTATTGGGAACCAGCAGTTAGCATAATGGCTATGTCGCTGGATTCCCACGTAGTCAACCGCGGTTCGCGTCCCAGACCTGGTGGCTTAGAACTCACGCTGGGCGTGTGTGCTTGCGTGCCCAAGATCCCGAGAGGAGAATGGAAGAGAAGGGATTGCGGCGTGACCATGCCCCCTGGAGGGTGATTTCTCGCTTTCTGTCTCTATGTCTCTCTCTGTCTGTGGCGAGTACACGCGCCCTATAGCAAAAAAAACTCTCAAAAAACAAACAAACAAACAAACAAAAACGTATTATTTTTTGTCTAACGGTGGAAAGTTCTATAGATTTCCGCCAAGCCCACTCGATTTATAGTATCATTTAATTCCTGTATCTCTGTTTAATTTTTGTATAGAAGATCTGTCTAAAGGAGATAATGGGGTGCTGAGATCCCAAATAATTATAGTGTTACACTCTATACCTTCCTTTGGCTCTAGCAGTTTTTCCTTCACATATTTAGGTGCTCCTGAGTTGGATGCATAGATATTTATAAGCATTATGTTTTCTTCCCGAATTTTCCCATTTACTATTATATAATGTCTTCTTTGTCTTTTCTTAGCCTTTGTCTTAAAGCCTATTTCATCTGAAATCAGTATCACAACTCAAGCCTTTTTTTGATTTTCATTTGCATGGAATATCATTTTCTAGCCCTTCACTTTTAGTCTATGTATGTCTTTATCCATAAGGTACATTTCTTGTAGGCAACAGATGGAGGGTTTCTGCCTTTTTTTTTAATTATTTTTTTGTTCTTTATCGATTCAATCAGTCTGTATCTCTTAATTGAAGAATTTAATTCATTAACATTCAATGTTATTATCACTATTTCCAGACCTATTCCTGTCATTAAGTGAGCAATTTTTTTGGTTGTTTTGTTTTATTTTGTTTTTCCTCTTATAACTATTCATCTGACTTTTTAGTTTTCCTGGCATAGCAGTCCTTTTAGAACCTCTTGAATAGCTGGTCTGGAATTAGTAAATTCTTTCAGGTTTTGTTTTTTATCCAAGAATGTTTTTACCTATTTTCCTATATGAAGGATAATCTTTCTGGGTACAGTATTCTTGGTTGAAATTGTTTTTCATTTAACACTTTTACTATATTTCCCCAGACTTTCCTTGCTTACATCGTTTCTGAAAAGAGGTTTGATGTTAGCCTTATGGGATGACCTTTGTAAGTAACTTGACATTTTCCTCCTGCCAATTTTAATATCTTGTCTTTGTCTTGGTTTTGGCCAATCTGGCTATGATGTGTCTTGGAGAAGATATTCTTGGGTTGATTCTATCTGGAGTCCTATGTATTTCTTGGATTTGGATAATTGAATGCCTCTCTAGGTTTGGAAATTTTTCTTCCAGGATTTCATGAAATAAATTATCAATGCCCTTATTATTTTCTTCTTCTGGGCTACCAATTATCTGGATGTTTGGGCGCTTGATGGTATCTAGTATTTCTTGTATATTATTCTCATTTTTCTTGGTTGTTTTCTGAGTCTTTTTGATATTTTTTTTCTAAGTCTGAGGTTTTGTCTTCTACATTCAAGATTCAATCTTCTCTGTGATCTAATCTACTTTTAATACTTTCAAGGGAGTTTTTAATTTCCTGAATCACATTCTTCATCCATAACAATTCTGTTTGATTCTTTTTTATGGTGTCTATTTCTTCTTTCAAATCCTGTTTCTTTTCTTCTTGCATCTCATTTAGTTTGGTTACTATAAAAATTCTGAATTGCTTATCCAACATTTTCACAACTCCCATTGTGTTATCCATGGGTGATATGGAATTGATGTTTTCCCTTGGGGGAAAACACATTTGGTTGGTTGCTCATATTTCTTGTGCTTCCGCAATGGTTCCTGGTCATCTAGTGTTCTATATGTTCCTTCCTAAATTATTCAGGGTATCTCTGAGTGTTGAAAGGTATATAAAAATAGAAAATTGGTGATCTCTCTTCTCTCTGCCTTCATGTTGCTCACTCACACCCTGCACCATTGTCACTGGTCCTCGGTGATCCAAAGCCCTCCCTCTTTCAAAAGAACAGGTATGTGTTCTTTAGAAACATTGATCTGCTGAGCTTCAACTCAGGAGCAAAGAAAGATCATGGGGCCTGCACTATCCAGAACACTGAAGTCCAGAGAGTTCAAAGGAGAGTGGGGGATGGGTTGAGCCAGAGGTCCAAGCCTTTAGGCCCTGCAGCCACAGGCAGCCAGGCAGCCAGCAAAGTCCTTTGCTCTAACCAGTATCAGGATGGGCAGGGAAAGGCACAATTTTGTCTTAAAGTACCAAGATACATACCTGAAGTCCAAAGGTGAGTGGGGAAGTGGATGAGAAATGGATCTCTGCCATTAGGCCCTGAAGCCCCAGGTAGCCAGGGGTCCAGCAAGGCATGATTTGTACTTCCATGTTCTTTTTTTTTTTTTTTTTAAATACGCAATGCTTCACAGATTTGTGTGTCATCCTTGTGCTGGGGCCATGGTAATCTTCGCTATATCGTTCCAATGTTAGTATATGTGCTGTCAAAGTGAGCACTGCACTGATTTCTAAGCCAGAGTACTCTCTACCTCATATGAGATTTCTAGCAGGGCTAGAGAAATAACTCATGGCTCTACTGCTTGCATAGGACACTCACCTGTTATATTCATTGCTTCTTTCAGCCTAGTGGACAACATTTTGTGGGGTAAATTTATTAGTACAAAAGAGGCATATGTTCACATTAAACATTTCAGAAAAGTGTAAAAATACAAAAGTACTTTAGTTTGGGGTAATTTTACAGACCCTGACCACTCATCTCCAATCCTTGGAGTTGGCATCAGCCATCAGATTCCTAATTTTTTACCAAGTTTTGTTGGTCACCTGTTATTGAACCACAGTTAGTATGTGAGTTAAGGTTGACCAGTATGTATTTTCACTGTTTTTGTTTATTTGTTTTCTTTTAGGTTTTTATCAAGTCCAGCGCCTTCACCACCATGCCATCTGTTTGCCCCTATTTTTACCATTTTGAACTCATAAATATTAGTCAGCCTTTTTTGATTGCTTCAAGTGAGAATATATAAACTTGAGTGTATAGGGGTGTTTAATTTCTGTGATAGGAACATGGAAGTGAAGACAATCAGCCAAGAAAGAAGGAAGCAGGTTTTCAGGGCAGCAGAAGAGACTGACTGGGATGCCTTGAGGGAAGAGAAAGATTCCAAGAATATATCTGTCTTGTTTCCCAATAGCTTTCTAGTGTCCGATTTCTATCTCTGTTAAGGCCCAATTACACTTTTACTCTTGACTTCAATGACATACTCCTAGATCCTTATAATAAGTACATCTTTTATGTTTAAGTTCACTCCAATAGGTGCTTATTGTTTGCATTCACAACCTTTGCAAAGAATCCCTCAAATCCCAATAATTTCTCTCTGTGTATGTATTAAAATGGGATTATAGGGTCATAACATAATGTTTATTGGCCTACTTTATTTGTTCTATATAGTATAAACCTTTTCTATGTTTTTTGAAAGAATTATTTTATTTAACTTTATTTATTGTTTTTTTAATTTGACAAGAGAGGGACATATTGAGAGAGAGAGAGAGAGCGAAAGAGAGAGAGGGAAAGTGAAAAAGCAAGCCACCAGGTCCAGGACTCAAACTGCAGTCAGCCATGTGGGAGTGCCCCTAGCCACCACTCCACCTGTTGGCCCCAACGTTTTCCATGTTAATAAATATTTCTCTATGAAAACATTCTTAGTGGTTTCAATTATCCCATTGTATAATGAAGCTATGATTGATTTACTAATTTATCTTTTGAACATTTAGTTTTTACTATTCTAAATTATGTTGAAATGAACATTCTTTAAACAATTTGATCATATTTAATCACTTAGGAAATATTCCTAGAATTAGTCCCTTTGATTCAAATACTGCAACAATTCTTAATTCTTTTGTAATATGCCTCCAGACACCTTTAGAAAAGTTCTAGAAATTCACAATCCCAACAGCACTGTTTTTGTTTGAGGGAAAAGGGACCCTGATATAAAGAAGTCAGTAACACACTGAGCTTTAAATCTATGAAAATGATCTAATTTGAATTTATAGATTAAAATACTATTAACATTGTGAGAGATATACAATATATAAATAGTTTAATCAAAATTGTGGTAATATAAATATAATCAAAAACAAGGCTACAATATAAAACAGATACTGGTTTGATTCAAATAGTCTCAGAGTTGAATTCACAGCTCAGCAAATTAAATTTGTACCTCAGTCCCTTAACTTAAAAGTAGATTAATTATGTGTCCCTGAAAGAGACATTATGGAGATTAAATTTTAAAATGATACAATGTACCTAGAACAGAGACTTAACACATTGTCAAAATTCAACCTTTAGAAGATAGTATTTTAGGAAATTTTCTTGGTACCAGGAGATGGCATGATTATTATGTTGCTGGTCTCCCATGTAGCCGACCACGGTTTGAATCCCAGACCCAACAGCTTAAACTTCATGCCAGGCAAGTATGCGTGCATGCCCAAAATCCCAAGAGGAGAGAGAGTGGAGGACAAGGGATTGCAGCATGGCTATCCCTTCCGGGGGGTAATTTCTCATTTTCTGTCTGTCTCTCCAACAAGCACTCCTGCTCTAAAGCGAAAATCTCTCAAAAAAAAAAAAAAAAGAAAAGGAAAGAAATCCTGGAAGATAGTATTTTGGGATATTTTCTTGATAGATGTTTTATTTCAGTAGAAATCTAAACCTTCTATAATAATTTTTGTGCTTCAGAACTCAACTGATTATTTAAATCCTAGTTTCATTTCATAATTCTTATTTTTAATTAAACATAATGATTCTGCTAAGGATAAAGAGTTAAGTGGCTTAATAGAGACACACTCTAGAGAATTGCTAAGATTTTAATGGAAGTGGAGAATGTGTTAGCTGGTCAGGCTTTGGTCTTAAGCAAAGACCTTCTGTGCTTTTAATCTCTGGGCTGTGTCAAGCATCATTTACTGAGCATTGACTCTATTAAAATTATATTAGTTATGAGACTTATGTGGAAATGTCTGGCTTAGTTTTGCTGTATTAGTCACTTTATTATATACTGGTTTTGTTTTTTATATGTGTATACTTTCCTCTCCCATATCTTTGCTAACTTTTAGTGATTTACTATCAATGGTAAAATGTTATAATAACTCCTGAACATAAACCCTGTAAGGTTTACATCTGAGGAGGAAAAAATAATAGTACTTTTTGAAAGTGTCAGAAAGATGTTATTTATTGTGTTACATGGATACCCCTTGACAATTGTGAAGGCTAAGAAAATGTGATACACTGATGAGTTTAAGCCAGTCACTTAATCTGCTCTGGAGTTGAGTAAGGAAAGAGTTATACCTGAGAGAAAAAATGTAGATACACTTATCAAAAGAAGATTGTATTAATGCCCCAAGGAAAAGCGCAGATATTTTTGTTTTTTTTTTTTTGTTTGTTTGTTTGTTTGTTTTGCTATAGGGCGTGTGCGCTGGCCAGAAAGACAGAGAGAGATAGAAAGCGAGAAATCACCCCCCAGAGGGGATGACCATGCCACAATCCCTTCTCCTCCATTCTCCTCTTGGGATCTTGGGCACACACGCACACATGCCCGGCGTGAGTTTTAAGCCACCAGGTCTGGGACCTGAACCGCAGCCGACTCTGTGGGAGTCCAGTGACATAGCCATTACGCTAACTGCTGGTCCCAGCAGATGTTTATTTAATCTTAGTATGTGGCTATATTGGTAGGTCATGTCAGATACCTAAGAACTTTTCCATGTACCTGATTTTCTCTCTCTACTCATAGAACAGACAGGACTCAATTTATTCTATCTCCTGAATTTTTCTGAAATCTCATTTATCCACATATTACAATCTGATTGTTATCATGTCTTGGTTTGACTACTTTAGTAGTCTCCTACCTGATGACCATATAACCACTCTTCTGTCAATTTTGTACACTACAGACATGATCCCGTCCTGAAATCTTTCCTGTTCTTCCTATTGCCCTTAAAACATAATTACAAATTATGGTCTAAAGGGTCTTGTTTGGCCTGACCTTCCTTAACACTAGATATTTTTGTACTTGTGAATATTGTTTCATTCCCTCTGATGTCTCAGTTCTTGTGACATACCTCAGTCTTCATGCTATAGTAAGAAAGTCACTCATATCCTGAATTGGAGTATTATATCTTCAAAACACCTGATGCTATTTTCATTTTCTTTTTTTTTTTTGGAGAGGTTTTTGCTATAGGGCACATGTGCTCACCAGAAAGACAGAGAGAGACAGAAGACAGAAAGTGAGAAATCATCCCCCAGGGGGGATGGCCACACTGCAGTCCCTTCTCCTCCATTCTCCTCTTGGGATCTTGGGCATGCATGCACATGTACTTGATGTGAGTTTAAGCCACCGGGTCCGGGACTCGAACCATGGTCGACTACATGGGAGTCCAGCGACATAGCCATTATGCTAACTGCTGGTCCCAAAACACCCGATGCTATTATTAGCTTCATTTTCTTATTAGGAAAGTGATGCAGACCAGGAAAGTTAATAAATAAGTGGTATGGCCAAGATTCAAACCCAGGCTATCAGCACTTATGCCTACATTTTTACCCATTCTACCATCGTACCTCAACATACCAGATAGTAACTATTATATAGTAGGTATAAAATAGTACAAAATAGATATAATAATAATATTTAGTTTTCTATTTAATTATCAGCACTTTGCATTATTCTGGGAATACAGTACTTATTCAATTCATATCAGTTAAATAATAATAAAAAAGTGCCTTTTTTTCCTGAACTTCTTGTTTGAGTAGACTGTATACATTCAGTACAGAAATTTGCAATAGAGCAGAGAGTACTTTTCAAGAGCCCTCAGTGAGGACATTTCGGAATTCTCAACCAACTTCTTCTGGCTGTCCTAACCCTGAACTACTCTCTCATTCTCACCTCTTTCAAGCAGGTCAATTCTCTGAATGAAGAACAGCAGAAGATATCTCCCCTAAAGAGGGCTACCCAAATATTTCATCACCTAAGGTACTTCTTTATTTCATTGTTATTTACTGCATTTATATGGTAGTCCCTTATCCTCACACTTTTCATTGTGTGTTTAGAGATGAATTAAAGCTTGATTATTTTCCAAAGTTGTACTAACTGGTGAAAAGTAGTACTTCAGAATTGTTTATTGAAATGAAATAAAAATGGTCTCCATACAGAAAGAACCAGCCCATTCTATCTTAAAGAAAAGAAACCCACTGTTGAAACATTTGTTTAAGTACTTACTTTGTGTCAGGAACTATACAAAGCATTTCACATGCATTATTTCATTTATTTGTTGTAAAACAGTAACATAGATAGTATTATTAACTCTTTTAAGGAAAGGGCAATTAAGGCTTAAAAATGTTTAATGATTTGAAAGTCAGTATTAAATGGAGGAGATGGGGTTTGAACTTAGGAAGAACTGAACTGTTAACAATTACATTATATAACCTCTTCTAATATGCAGTAATTCTTTTTTGAGAGGTTTTTGCTATAGGGCGCATGTGCTCACCAGAAAGACAGAGAGAGACAGAAAGAGAGACATCATCCTCTAGGGGGATGGCCATGCCACAGTCCCTTCTCCTCCATTCTCCTCTAGGGATCTTTGGCACACATGCACATGCACTTGGCATGAGTTTAACCCACTGGGTTCAGGACTTGAACCACCATCAACTACATGGGAATCCAGTGACATAGCCATTACTCCATCTGTTGGTTGCAGTATGCAGTATTTTTTTTCTCTTAAATATTATCTTTTCATTAACCACATAGTTTTTATTAAACAATAGCAAACTGCCTTCCCAGTATTAATAGGGGGTCTCAGGAAGGAAACCATTGTGATAATTGTCTTTTTTTATAGAATAAACGTTAGTGGTTGTAGCCTGTTCAGCACCTATTAACTTTAATTTCTGATACTAGCCTAGCTTTTCCTTCTCTATGGTTTGATGTGCTGATGACTCCAAAATGATATGCTATATTCTGGGAAAGAAGTGGCACTGGGCCCAACCAAAGTCAGATTCTCACTCCTTAATATTTAAATTTCTAGATTTGCTTTTCCTCCAGCTACTTTCTTTATTCCTCAAGTGTTCCTTTGTGAAAAGTAACATGTTTTTCACTCTTCTTCCATGTTTAAGCCAGTAACCAAAGGCAACAAAAATATCTAATAAAACATACAAGACCCAACCAAAATTATTTGGAGATACTATGTATGTCCTTATTCCCAGATTTCAGATTCATTGTTCAAAAATACAAGGACCTATATCTAGCTTATCTCTAAGACCCACTGTGTGATTTTAGAGACTTTATTTTGCAAGAGGGCATGTGAATTTCTCAAAGAGACAGAAAGAGAAAGAGACAGAGAGCGAGCGAGAAAGACAGAGGGAAAGGAAAAAAATACCTCCCAATGGGGTATGGTGATACTGCAATCCCTTCTCTGTTTCTTCATCCTGTCAAGAATGAACACATATATGGTGGCAGGTTTCAAGCTGCCAGCCAGGATTTGAACTGCTGTCATTCATGCAGGATCTGGCTCCCTGAACCACTAGGTTATGGGCTTGGCCAGATTTTAGTTATTGATTTGGGAGGATCTGAAGTTTTCTTTTAGATCATTTTCAGGCCATTATTTAGACTCTAAAAATCAAGTTTGACATTTTAAAACCTGATATGAAGTTGTTGATTTAAATGCTGTTTCAAAATGTAACTAAGTTGACACAAACCAAATATTCTGAGCTTTAAAAATAAAAAAGAACCCTATTTTATGAAATCCTATCTCAAATACTAACTTAAAAGTGCATTCATGAGAAAATCAACAAAATAACACCTACTGTGAAAAATAGTCATGGTTTGGGGCCAATTTTTCTCTATGAAATTTTAGGTTACACAGCATTCACAATATGTGGCCATTTCTCCTGAGACTCAATTATCAGTTGCTTGTTCAGCTCCTTTTGCAATAGTAATTAAACAAGCATATTCTCTCTCTCTCTCTCTCTCTCTCTATATATATATATATATATATATATATATATATATATATATATGTATTTTCCC